AAAGAGAAAAGGAGACTGCACTGGATCAGTATGGCGTGGCGTGCTTCGATATATATCGATATTTCCCCATTTGAAGCTTTGGTGAAGAATCGATTATTAAGGTGTTCGTTGCGAACACTCGGATAATCGATCCTTTTCCACAGGTTTAGATGGCAAATCAATCGATATATCGCAAAGCACGCCACGCCACTGCACTGGATGTAGATCACGCGGAAGCGGACGAGTTGCAAGTCCTTCTTACATTTTGAGAGTGCGGACTAAATGAATGTTCACCGACGCGCTGCTAAGAACTCACTGAGAAGATTCATTTCATGCAGTGAGAAGGATCATTAATTATCCGTCACATTTACCAGGAAATTTTCACAAATCGCACAAAATAAAAGTATGAATCATGTTGATTTTTAAGTCAAGTTTGACACCAAAAAAACCGACGGAGAATCTATCAAACCACGCATCTCGTCAGAGATGAGGTGAGACCCAGTTCCGATATACGAGCGATTGCTGTGCGAAAAAATTGCAACTCCCGGAATTAATTGGACGTACTTCTATCAAACGGAACTAAGCGCCATCGGGGGCGGAGGGGAGAGGGGGGCTTGGATTGGCGGGTGTTGAGAACGCGATGCTCATTCCGTCCTTATGCTTTTCCATGGCGCTTAGTTCCGTTTGACAGAGCGCGCTATCAAAGATTCTAAAATCCTCAAAAGGAACTCAATTTGGCGCTTAGTTCCGTTTAACAGATATACGTCCAATTATCAGCTTGGTCTTGCAGGATCCGCTGGATGCCGAATCCACCGCTCACCATATAGAAACCGGTTTCGAAAATCTGTTCGGACTCACTTCTCCGAATACTTAGGATGTGTTGCAACTCTCTGTATTATTCCATGGAACTAACCCACCCCACTCGAGTGATCGCGTCAGGAAACTTTGGCAACCCCTACTCGATCATTAGTAACCCGGCTCCGCGGCGATGCAAGCGCGCAAATGACATCGCGTTAGGGCGGCTCGGCCACAACCGGTTCCGGAAGCAAATTCTTCGCTCGCAGTGCCCGAGCCCGTATAAAATCCTCTTCTCACAGGATGAGCGACTGTTCTAAGAGTTGAGCAATAATAGTGACGTCCGATTTGCTAATGCGTTTTTCTCGATCTCCCAAGTATCCGGTTTTCTCATCCGGTTCTCTCACATTCCGGCCGACTGAAATCCGCCTGAAACTTGTGCGCGCAGCCACGCGGTTAAATTACTCGCCCGAAAGTGAATTTTTGACCATATGCTGAGAAACTTACATTGTAGGGCTCCTGGCATTAATAAGATTGAGAGGAATCATAAGTCGGAAAATAGGGAAAATGGTAATAATGAGAGAAAGAAAAAGGAAATAATCATGTGAAAAGTACAAACAGAGTTAAGAGGAAAAAGGAAATGATAGAAAAAGGAAGCAAGAAGCAGTAAAAGAGGAGGAAAATAATAGTAATACGAAGTAAAAAGAAAAAAACAATGAGAAAAATAGGTAAAGAGAGAGGAAATGAGAAAAAGAGGAAGAAAAATTAATCATCGTGAGAAGAAGAAAAATAAGTAAAAAGAAGAGGGAAAAGAAAATAGGAAGAAAACGGAGAGGAGGAGGGAGAAAAATGGTTATAGAAGGAGAGGAAAAAGGAGAGGACGAAGCCACGGCCCAGTCCTCGTTATCTGAATCAGAATACTAAGAAAAAAGAGAAGAAGAGGAGAGAGAAAATTAGAAAAGAGAAGAAAAGGAGAAGAGTGGAAGAAACAGAAATTCTTCTCTCTCTTCATTCGGTCAAAAAGACCCGAGCGGTTGATAGAAAAATAGTAGACATGACCTTTTGGGAGACGAACGGTATCTACAAATCTCTCTCTCTCATAATCTCTAACCAAAAAGACACTCCAATGGTCATATAAATTCGCAATGCTTTCATGTCAAGAAATAGCATACGTCCAAGCACGATGGGCACTTCCCTATTGTGAAGTCAGCGCTGATTGCGAACTTGGTGGCATCGATGATGCAAACTGACGTCATCAGCAATAGTGAACGGAGAAAGTGTGCATAATAGGCGCATCTGCGCATCGCGACGCAACCTTCCAAGAGTCAAATGCATGATGTGATGCTTGAGTATTAATCTAGTAAATATTGAGGTAGGTCCGTGGTCCCTATCGTTGCCCTCCCTTCCTCTCAGAAAGGGTGCAGGGTGGAGGGGAAGCATGAGCTTTGGTCTCGTTGCAAAGATGACAAGTCATCTTCCGTGCCGAAGATTTTTCGCAAGACGTCACAAAGATAATCTCCCGAGTGAAACCTAGAGATTTAAATGAAATACATTTTCAATCGGTTTTTTGAAAAATCGATTTTTTGCGCCGAAAAATCGATGAAATCGAATTAATGTTTCGAGGTCGATTATAAATCGAAATCGAGTGTTCGAGCCGAAATCGAATCATTGAAAAAAAACTGTGAAACCCGAGTTTCATATTATCAAGTTCAGGTTTGGTAGTAGCTATGTTTTTGTTGCCAAACTTGAATTCTTAAGTGGATTGAATTTTGCAAAAAGGAACCACTAGCATTGCAATGTTGCTTAGATTGTGCAACTTCTTTAGTCTTGGAGGAAAACCCCGATTATCCATTAATAGTTTCTCTTTTACTCGCTAAAAACTGTAAATTTAAGATAAAAATTACCATCTAAATTTCATAGATTTTCACGATTCCCGCAATTTTATTGCAAAAGATGAAGTTGCACAATCTTAGCATCATCGCAATGCTAGTGGTTCCTTTTTTCAAAATGCAATCCACGTGTTTTAAAATCGATTTCGAAAAAAAATCGGTTTCAGGAGAAATCGCCCATTCGATTATTCACCGAAAATCAATTCTATTTATTGGAAAAAATCTCCATCCCAAAATGTTGGATTTCCTTTTCCTGTTCGATAATGCGCTCCTGCGTTAAGAAGCACGATGATGCTGCGGGCACGGAGAGCGGGCGAAAGAGCGCTTATTTAT